ACATTTGCAGGGTTCTCAGGGGATCCCGCCACCCACCGTTTCTTAAAACCTGAGGGAGCTCTAGTTACACAGTCAGCTGCTTCGGAGTGCTGTGGGAATGGGATGCTGTGGCTTCTCAACTCCTTTCAACTTCTATTTGCTTCTTTCAGCCTAGAACCTCTATTTAAAAAACAAAACAAAACAAAACAAAAACCTAAAGTGGAGTTATTTTTGTCCAGTCAGCCTATTTAGTGAACATTCTAATGTTATTATCTACAAAATTTTATGGGGTTTTTGCTTGTTTACAATGCATTCATCAAAACTACTTATTATTTATGTTATGTGCTTTAAGTGGTAAGGACATGCCTTTTTCATAGCCTTTCAGGTATGGTCTAAGGGACGAATTTCACAAGGTAATAGTAAGCATAATAAACTGACTATTGCAATTAAACAGGGATGACACAGAATATCAGGGTTGCTAAATCTTGCCATGTGCCTTAACATCTTCCCTGTTCTTCCCTTGGTAGGCACACATAAACCTGGCTATGGCTAACAAAATGTACAGTCTTCTGACATTTCTAAAAATATGCCTCTTTCTCACAAGTCACCCAAACTCCAGCCACAAACTCTTAAGTACACTTGGAGACAGATAATATAGAAAATAATTAACTTTTGCCCATATGTGTAATGAATTCTATGGTTTATTTTAAATTGTATTATTCTCTGTTTTCTTCACAGGAAAAATAGGTAAACAAGAATTGTTTACATTAAACAGCTAACTTATTTAGGCAGAACTGTGAAAAAAAAAAGAATTTTCTGAATGTATGCATAAGGAAAGAGAATTTATGAAAAAGTCCACATAATATTAATCAATAAGTTATTTGGGGTAGAGAATCTATTCATTAAATGGGATCAGAAGTATAGTAAAGATTTATAGCTTAAGCGTTGAAGGTCCACATATAGAAGAAATACAACCATTTTTCCTGATGGCAAGAAGAACATTAAGAAACACAATATAGCAAGAGTTACGTTACAGTGAAACCCACAAATCACTGATAGATATTTCCTCAAAGAAATCTGACAGTCTCTTCAAAGTAAATACATAACGCTTTTGTAGATGTTAGGGACATCTCATAGTATTTGTGAAATAACAGAGATTTGAGCAGTTAGGTTATACATGAAAAGTGTTACCCTTCCTTAATTCAGGACACTTAATTTCAATGCTACAAGCAAATTCAGCTGTAAAAAGGGTTATCTCCAGTGTATCAATTGCATATCCTCAAATTTAAATATGATTATGTGGCTATCATTTAACACTGAAAAGAAAACAAGAGGCAGAAAGAAATACCAAGGTAAATTAATATGCTTCTCATACCAAGTCTAATGCTGAGTATATTTAAACAAGATACATAATTAATTTCATAATATTCTTGTAAATTCAGCCTTCAGTGACCTGTATTTCAAAACAGGATCTGACAAAACAGAAATCTCTTACACAGTCTGAAACATTAAGAAGGCTTGGAATAAAGTTCTGCATTTTGAAAGGTTTGGGAAAACATGCTGAAAAAAGCAGAACATTTCTCAGCTGTGTCCGTCAATAAAATGCACAACACGTTTGGCTAAGAAGGAATAAAGGAGCAAGGCTTTTCTGTTGACAAAAGGCTTTTTTGCTATCTCAATCCAAATCTTCCAAGAGAAACCATACTCCCCTCCATGCTTCACACCACAAACTATTCTGAAACAAGCTAAAAAGCTCCATGACCTAGACCTCTGGTCTAATGTTGGTATCCTTGAGTTACTGTAACTGGAGAAAAAAAAAAATCACTTTTGAACAGGAGATATTAGAAATGGAAAAGCTATGGTAGCTTGACAGAATTTAAACTACATGATGTCCTCCGTAAATATTATTTTGTCCATTTCTGCCTGTGGGAAATGCCATGATCTCTTTTACTGAAAAAAGGCAGAACTTAGTTGAACAAAAGAGAGTGCAATATTCAAACTCACTTAGTCTTCACTATAAAAAGCTTTTTAAAAACATGAAGCCTTCAAAGAGTAGAGCTAAACCTAACATGCTAAGTATCTGTGATTTACACAAACCAGAAAGAAAATAACAGAAAACCTGCACTTATCCAGACCAAGAGACTCAATATTTTTTTCTTTTTCACAGACGTCAACGGGTGTACTAAAATGAACCAGAGAAATTTCCTGGAGACTGAATAGCATTAAAATGAATAAAACTGGTTGGTGCAGTGTTTAATGCAGGTAGGGAAAACCACAAACTGCAAACAGACTGACAATATGCTGTTTGTTATAAATACATCTTTGGAATGCTTAATTCACACACTGTTCAACTTTAAACTGGAATTCAGCTTTGACTGAATGTACAAGCACCTATTCTCAAAGGGGATATACACAAATATAGAGCTGGGGACAATTTCAACTCAGAAGCAAAGCCAAACTAAAGCGTGGAAAAAAGGACCATTCTTCAACTTTGTGAATACCAGCAGCATTGTATGGACGTTAACTAGGTGCCCCAATAATATGAAACTACTATGAACATAAGAACAAGTAAATAAACTCTCAAACTTGGCATATCATATTTCTCAATTTTTCTCTGATACCTTAAAAAGCCTGAGCTCATCTCCTTGCCATAAAACACCACCTCAACCTTCATTCAGGAAACAATTTCTGCTGACTTGTACATTACATTGTCTTGATAAAATATTCCCAAGATTCCTCCCAAAATTTTCAAACAAACACAAAAACCCCAGATAGTTTGATTTCTAGTAAATAATAAGATCTCAGAAACAAATCTGAAATGTTTGCCATCTTAAACCATAGCTAAGGACCTGATTTTCTTTCTAAAGTTCCCATTTACAGATTTAATTTTCCAGCCTAGCAAAATGAAAACATAATTTTTCCTGCACATGCCAGATTGTAATCTAGATCTCAAACACTGGCTTCTTCTGGCATATATGAACTTTGAAAATAAAAAATTCAGAACTTTGAATTCAAACAAATCTGATGCCAAAACACATCCTACTTGCAAACATACTGAAGTCATGCCCGGATTTGATTGCTTTAATTTGAATAAGCTTTTGCTAAACAGTGGCTTTAGTTGGCCATTTTGTTGATTCACACACTAGCTTCTTGGAGCTACGGTATGTCCACAAATCAGTGGGCATAGTGATGACAAGATTTTTGGTCTGTAACAAGGAATATCTTCCTCAGTATAAAAAAAGTATTATGCCTTTGATCCATTAGAGGTACTCCCTAGCTAGAAGCTCCCAGGTGGTACATGTATCAAAAGCAAGATGTGGACTCAAAAAAGATGACAAGTGTAGTAAAAAGTGGTATTTTAGAGTCATTTTCAGGCCATAGATTCAAAATATAAACTTTATGATGTGTTGTTTTTTCTGTCAATTATTTCCTCTGAACATCTCCAGTTTTAGGATCTGCTGTTCTCAGAAAAAAAGTCAATATAATATCTCTGTACTTTCAGGAGTTCAGGAAGCAGAAGTCAGGGAGCTCAAGGAGATTAAGACTGAAAGAAAGGAACTGGATTAAGCGTGTGTTTTAGTTCAGAGTTCCCCAAGTCAAGCATCAGAGAAAGGCTGCTGGCATACCTAGGGAGCACGTTACCAAAACCACAGCCATTCTGATGCCCTCAAACCCTGATTCCACAGTGGCAATATACACAGGAACTTTCAGGCACTGAACCATATTTCTTCTTGAAATATATAATAAAATGGTATATATGACTATACATGTTAGTGCTGAAATTCTAGAGAAGTTTAATCCTTCTTCTGCACTCTGGCACTCTGAAGCTGCCTGCGCATTTCTGACTTTTTTTCCCCTGAAGAAAATCTGTGAGAGTCACATGGCTTTCTTCTGCAAATCTGTATTTTCTTTATTTGTACCTCTACTTACTTTCAAAACTTTAAAGCATATTAATATATTAATTTTAATAATTTTGTTAAATTACGTGTTGGAAATGACTATGTTTTGGGTATGTTTTACAAAGTACAGCTATGTGACTCGCATTGAATTTATAAGACTTCTGGCAGCTAAATTTCTAAGCACTCATTTGAAAAGAATAAATGATTAATTATAGGTGTGTTGTAGAAACATCAGTTATCCTACAGTGGATGATGAATGTGTTTCATTAGATATTGGAAAAATTAAGATGAGCAGTGCATTAAATAGTTTAACACAGTGGGATAAAGAATTACTTTACAGATACTTGCTCACTCCAAAACTTAACAGCATTCTATCACATACTGCCCTATTCACCAATTACATCCTATTCCCTATTCCAAGCTATCATGTAGCTATAGTTAATTTTAAGCAACCGCTTACTGTAACTTCTGAAAGTTACGTAGCATCACTAGGCGCTGGGCAACGCCTCAAAACACTGACACAGCCCTGCTCTGCAGGAGAGGGACAAATGAGCACTATGTTCAGAAAGAGTCTGAGAACAGATTAGTAATAAATCAGCAATATATCACTAAGTAAGGTATGCAGGGTTATTACTTTCTTATAGCTATATCAGTCAGAGTTTTAACAGTTCTATAGCTTGTTATGATGTCTGTTTCTGGACATTTTCAAGAGTACTACTCTAACTTCTAAGCAATTTGTACTTGCCTTTCGAGTACCAGTGTGTTAATAAAAAGACAAAAACACTGTAGCACAATCCCATTACAACTATTATAATGAACCAGAAATTGTGCTTTTGATGTTGAGTCTTTGAACTTTTTTGCTTTGAAATTTAGTTATAAAACATACAAGTCTACCACAGAGAACACAGCTTATCCAGAGGGAACAATACCAAGAGGGATTTTTGGAGGGGAAAAAAAGACTATGAAAGACGGTAAATATTTTCCCCTATCTGTTAATATTTTATCAAAAGTGCCAAGTCCTATGAGCATAGGACTAAATTGATGTAATTACCTTAAGCTAAACACAAATAAAACAAAGAGATCAATATTTAAGTGCAAATTTAATGCAATCCATCATCATACCTTGTTATGCGTCTGAGTTTGTCCAACCAGGATAAGGATATTTGACGAGATAATAGACAGGCAGAAATTGATTAGAATTATTGACCTCTCAGATCTGATGTACCTGTTCAAATAAACAAAGAGAGAGTACAACTTTTCTAAAAGGAAAACAACTAGTAAGTCATGCAAACTTTGATGCAATACTGGCATTAAATATTGGAGATACTCTGAAACGTAAGCAGTCTCTTTCAAGAGCTCAAAAAAGAGTACGAGGGAGCTATCACATTAGAGACATAGGAACCATGATATTTTGATAGATATGCTGCAATTCCCTCTTAGTATCTCGGTATATTTTAAAAATAATCTATCAATGCTTCTTTTAAAAACTGATGGCAACGCTGTTCTAACACCACACTGATAACAGGCTTGCATGCATTCATGTCGGGAACTTATGCTCTCTTGCTCATCCCTGAGAATATCCACAGCTGGCATAGACCACCCACAATAACGAACTTCAGCAAAAATATGGGGATTTACATAAACAGAAGATCTGGTCTGTGATGCATAAATAAGATGCAGGTTGGTTGACGATACTGTGGCAGTGCATTTTGAAACATATTATTGGGATAACAATAACATTAATCTTGAAGTTCCACCATATTTACAAAATAATTTGTATGAAGAAACAATAATATTGTAATATCTTCATCTTTATAAGACCTAATGCCAAAAAATAGCTAAGTTTGTATAGAAAGATTAAATTATAGCAGTGAGCATCACAGTCTGTCTTGTAAATTTATCATATTCATTTTACAAGTATGTTTAGGATGAAAAAATCAAATATTCTTATCGCCTATTTCATTACAAGATGCAAATGTTCTCATTTTTCTACATACAGCCTTTTATATGCTACAGGACAGAAAGAGAATTATTATGGTTTCAAGTGAAGTACCTTACTGACCTGATTTTCAGAGCTGCTAACAGAGTAAATGATGACGACTGAAGTAAATGAAAGTTAAGAGTGCTGAGTTCCTCTGAAGACCATGCCATATGTTTATATATTCTATGACCTATACTATCCGCTTCTCACTGGAGCTTAGTTAATATTTCTGTCTCCTCCTGAGCTGTACACCCATAGCTGACACTCTGAGGAGGTCATAACAAAGGGTGTTGAACCCACGAGAAATGCTGAGCTTTGGACATGAAATTAATTGTCATCCGTTTTGCTCAGCTATCAATTAAGTAATACAGCATTACATTTTTTTAGTTAAGAGGACAGAACAACCCTGATACCACAATCCACATTTTTCCTTAAAATATACAGTGTTAAGTCTAGTTCTATTTTTCCACCAAATACAGAAAGCCTAGAGCCTTTGTCTACACAGTCAGTGTGCTGCTACTTTCTGACTTGTTAACTATTGATTCACCTGGGCCAGTTCCCAATGCTGAGTAGCTATGGACTAGAAAATATCTCAGTGGTTGTGTAAATACAGTGAAACCAGCACGCACTTAAGCTAGGAAGGTTTTAGTTTTTCTGCCAGCCCACTATTGATGGGAAAGGAAGAGAAGGATGAATATTTGACTGACATTGAATTTATTTTTGTTTGAATTTCCAGTTGGGGGGATCAAATTAATCAACCATAAAAGAACACTCACACAGGCCTTCTTTGGACCAGAATACCTCCACCTCACATAACTTCTAAACAGGCCCTGCCATTCAAAGGCAAGGTGGGTGTTCCAAAGTATAAATACAGACATGGGGTCAAAATGTCAAATTTTACTTACCCCTAGATTTATAAAAACAAGCATATATACATATAAGTTTCAGTGTCTATCTTATCCCTATAGTTAATTACTATGTGCTCTCAAGAAATGTGTTGAAGGCAAATTTTAATGATTCAAATGACAGGCCACTCAATACTTTCAAAACATCTCACTGATCGAACACCAAGATCTAGATGAGTTATCTTGTCTTCAGCTGGATGCAGAATCCACACTAGGTCTGTAACACATCACATACATTTTTTTTCTCCGCTTGGAAGTTACCATAATCATAGAATCACAGAATCATAGACTGGTTTGGGTTGGAAGGGACCTTTAAAGACCATCTAGCTCCAACCCCCCTACCATAGGCAGGGACACCCTCCACCAGACCAGGTTGCCCAAAGGCCCATCCAGCCCGGCCTTGAACGCTTCCAGGGATGGGGCATCCCCAGCCTCTCTGGGCAACCTGTTCCAGTGTCTCACCACCCTCATCGTAAAAAATTTCTTCCTTATATCTAATTTAAATAATGGAGAAGACCCATTCCACTGAGCATGACAGTATTTCCATCCAAGTGCTAAATATATCAGGGAGTGCAAAAATAACACTATAATTCTTCAGATGGGAATTATATCCTGAAATACTCTCATTCTTAGCTTTGACAGACAAGAACTGATAATTTTCATACTCTTTTTATTGTAACTTATGTAACTAGATATTCTATATTTATTATATATATATGTCTAATCCTGTGAGTCTCTGTGGCTACATAAGAGAGTGAAAAAGGGGGTAAAATTGTCAAGCTGCTTCTAAAAGCAGAATTCTATTGGTTGCTTTTACATTACTCTAAAAATTATTGTTTTCTCACTGTGTTTTTTTACTTGCATAAGAACCTATTTTTCTTTTTCTATGGAAAAAAAAAGTTAAATGACAACCCATGTTCACTTTTTAAAAATATTTATTACTTTGCAAGACTTTTATTTTTCTATTTCTTCTACACTAAGACATCATGCTATTTCTCGTCACTTCTCAAATTAATTTACTCCATCAATATCTATTGCACTTTTAAGTCACTATAATATTTTATTATAGAAAACTCAGGATGGAAAGAAAGTCTGTTACTGGAATGTACCACCAGACTATTTGAGACTACTTAGTTTTGTGATCTTCATTGAAACTTATAACTGAAGTGGATAAACTCAAACCCACTTAACCTCCCTAAATCTGCAATATCTCATGTGGCACTTCAATATGTCACTTTTATCATAGGGAAGTTTTGTTTTAAAATGTAAATTGAGGAAAAGCAATCAGAGGTATAGGCCAGAAGCCTCACATGAAATATAGCATATAGAAGAATCCTGTAAAATGTTTATTAGCACTATGAATACTCCACCTAACGAGCAATACCATTCACACTGAAGAGGGGAAAGAAAAGAGTGGGCTATACCATCAACAACAGGCCAAGAGAGTAAAACTAATCAATCACATCCACAACTTTAGGCGTCAAAACATGCACTTTGTTTCGCTTTTCTTTTTCTTTTTCAAATAATAAATGTTGCATCTAATGCCCTCTTTAAATTTTAATTCAACTAAATATAACTATGTATTCACATTCAGCTTTGTCAATCCATTACATACCTCCATAGCGCTGCATAGACAACTGCTAGGGTGATCAAGGCCAAGCATGAAAGACCACTGCCTACTATTAAGGTCACTGAGGGTGTACCAGATGATTCCATGATCTGTAGGTTACAACAGACAACCATGAAGAAAAACCATCCTCCAGAAATTAAAACAACAAGTCAAAAGAAAGAAAAGCAACAGAAGCAAAATGATAAAAGCAGCCACGCTGTCACAGATAGCTTCAGTAATATTACTTATGAAGCAGAAATCAGCTTAATTCCAAAACCGATCCATACATAACTCTGAGATCTGTTTAATTATTGATACATTCCTCAGAGGCCTTTGAGCTTTAAAGTGCCTTACAATACCTGCATGATGTTTTGAAAAACAAAATAAGTAGTAATATTACAATGTGATAGGACACTATGACATTAGGACAAGTTGAAACTGCTCCCTAGTTAAAACAAATTAAAAGATAAATTTCTCTTGATAAACAGCAATATTTAGAATTGTGTATTAAACAAACAGCTTGGTTTCACTGTAATATATTAACAGTCATCTAGTAATTTGTCCCAGAATTTGATTCATGCTTGTTGCAGAATTACCAAACTTTCTGACTTTTAATAACTTTGACTTCAATCCACTATTCTCACATGCTTAATTTCCTTGGGCCTCTGATCGCCTAGAAGGAATGGCAAGATATCTATGGCAACAATATCATAAGCCTTCCGTAAAGAAGCTGAAAATGGAGAGTTATTTCATTTGTACTCTGTGTAATAATAAAAAAATGAAAATAAATAAATGACCTTGAAAACAAACTATCTTTCCCTGCTGTAAAAGAAACTATTATCGTCAGATATCGGGTAAGGTTTTTCCTCCGTGTGTATATGTGCTCATGTTCTGAAATAGACATGGTATTTTGCTAATACAAATGGAAAAAAAAATTAGATCTAAAAGTTTGAAAGGATACCGTGCCTGATTTACCAAAATGCTTTTTTAAAACCTCAGGGATGTGTTGTAAATTACATTTATCAAGATATCTTTTGTCACCCAAATAGGAGCTAAGACTGATGTACTTTTAGGCCGGATCTCAGGCAGAAAGTAACATTTTATTTCAACCACTTTGTTCCAAACTGTTCTACTTTGCTATTAAAAAGAGTCTGATCATACTCTTCCAAAACCAGGAAAATGAAATTATGCCTTAGCAGAGTAACTTCACAAATATTTGCTTTTTAGCTATTTTTACATTCAATAATACTGGGAGTGTCTGCTTACACACTTAATGTCCCCTCTTTCTCATGAAAACTTGATCATTTTTCTTACATCATATCAACACACTACATAGAAAATCTGTGCTGAAAATGTCCAATGCAGATCTGCAATCTGTTTAACTACAGTATCTAGGGTTTTCCTACCAAGAGCAATAATAAAGCCCTGTACATTCCCCTGGAAAGGCTTGCAACCTTTAAAAAGCTTGTTAAGTTGATAATTGTTCAATACAAAAGTTTTCAACACATTTGCATCACAATTAGAAGGCTTTCTCTGAAAAATTCAGAGTTCGAGAATGTGCAAATTTCACTAGGATTTAGTTATATCACAGAATCTGGAATTCATTTCTGTGAGACACTGTAGACACCAGGAGACTAACATTTGCCTACCTGCAATATTAAACAATTCCTCAATGCGATGTCTGCAATATACCTGAGAGGAAAGCTCGACCAGCCT